TGAGCAAGCACACTACTTGTGTTTATACTACTTGAAGCTCAAGTTTGTTGAGCTTCTTGAATCTGCAGGTTTTTCATAAAATTGGGGAAATTTTCAACCATTATTTCTTCAGATATTTTTCTGCTCTTTTCTCTTCTCTTTCTGGGACTCCCATTACCTGTCTGTTGAGATTCTTGACATTCTCCTACACATCTCTGATCTGTTTATTTTTTCCTCTGTTCTTCAGATTGAATAATTTCCATTCATCTGTCTTGAAGGTCACTGATTCTTTCTTCTGCCATCTTAAAGCTGCCGTACAGTCTCTCTAGTGAATTCATTTCTGTAATTTTCCTTTTCAACTCCAGAATTTCCATTTAGACTTACTTTTGAAATTTTATTTTATCGTGGTAAGAACACGAGATTTACCCTGTTAACACATATTTACGTGTACAATACAGTATAGTTAATTATAGGGACAATGTTGTACAGCAGACCTCTAGCACTCACTCATCTTGCATAATTGAGACTTTATGCTCATTGATTAGCAACTACATTTTCCCTTCCCCCAAGCCCCTGCCAACCACCGCTCTGATTCTGTAAGTTTGACTATTTTGGACACGTCATTTAAGTGGAGTCATGCAATATTTGTCCTTGTCTATGAGTTCCTTATTTCACTTAGCATAATGTCCTCAAGCTTCATCCATGTTATTGCATATTGCAGGACTTCCTTCTTTTTTAAGGCTGAATAATATTCCCTTGTGTGTATATATCACCACATTTTCTTTATCCAATCATTTGTCGATGGATATTTAGGTTGTTTCCACATCTTGGCTATTGTGAATAGGGTTCCACTGAACATTGGAGTGCTAATATCTCTTCAAGATCCTGATTTCAGTTCTTTTGCATAAATACCCAGAAGTGAGATTGCTGGATCATATGGTAGTTCTATTTTAATTTTTTTTGAGGAAACTCTGTACTGTTTTTCATAGCAGCTGCACCATTTGGATTCCCACCAACAGTGCCCAAGGGTTCCAATCTCTCCATATCCTTGCCAACACTTGCTGTCTTTCGTTTTTTTGATAATAGGCATCCTAATGGGTGTGAGGTGATACTGTGGTTTTGATTTGTATTTCCCTAATAATCAGCGACATTGAGCATCTTTTCATATATCTGTTGGCCAATCGTATGTCTTCTTTGGAGAAATGTTTATTCAAATCTTTAGCCCATTTTTAAATTGAGTTGTTCTTTTTTTGCTACTGAGTTGTAGGAGTTCCTTATATATTTTGGAAATTGACGTCTTATCTGATATATGGTTTGCATAGACTTTTTTTTAAGACTTTATTTTTATTTATTTATTTTTTTTGTGAGGAGGACCAGCCCTGAGCTAACATCCAATACCAATCCTCCTCTTTTTG